TATAATATAATATAATATAATATAATATAATATAATATAATATAATAAATATAATATAATATAATAATATAATAATATAATAATATAATATAATATAATATAATATAATATAATATAATTATAATATAATATAATATAATATAATATAATATAATTAATATAATATAATATAATATAATATAATATAATATAATAATATAATTAATATAATATAATAATATAATATAATATAATATAATATAATATAATATAATATAATATAATATAATATAATATAATATAATAAATATAATATAATATAATATAATATAATACACACACACACACATATACAAGGCATATATATACAAGGCATATATATATACAAGACATACATATATACAGTGTATGTATGTGTGTATATATACACACACACACACACACACAAGACCAATAAACACAGATATAACTCCCAACCAATCAGGATGAAGAAAAAACCATTCTGGCACAGCAGTAGGCTAGCCCCAAATTTAAAACTGAAACAACTGTAAAAGTCTGACTCACAGACGAACACTATACAGAAGCCTGATGATGGCAGATAAGATTCTGCTGAAACGTTGCTACAACTTTAAAAGAACAACTAATAAAGTAACACAATGCTGCCAGCCAATCAAGATACAAAAAGAGCCAAAAAACAGACAGAAGATATTAGAGACACCAATCAAGCAGAACACAGCAAACTCCGAGACCAATAAACACAGACCAAGACTCCCACCCAATCAGGATGAAGAAAAAAAACCATTCTGGCACAGCAATAGGCTGCCCCAAATTTAAATCTGAAACCACTGTAAAAGTCTGACTCACAGACGAACACTATACAGAAGCTTGATGATGGCAGATGAGATTCTGCTGAAACGTTGCTACAACTTTAAAAGAACAACTACAATGACGTGGGAAAATACCCGAACAAAGCCGAATGCCGAATATATATAGTATATACAATATATGTATACAGTATATATACAGTATATATATATATAGTATATACAGTATATGTATACAGTATATATACAGTATATATACCATGTACATACCGGGTCTTATTTTTTTTTTGAGCCCTGAAAAAATGGCTAGGCCGTCTTTTTGGGGGTGACTTAATTCCACCCCCCTTGTATCTTCAGGCAGGTGGGCGGTGACGGCTTGGATGTTGACCTCGGCATTGGTGGGGCACTTCGTATTGGGGTCAACGCAGGCAGCACCATATCCGGGTGTACAACAAAAGTACTTCCTAACGGCAAGCCCCCCCACCATTCCCCCCATTTCGCATATTTTAATATAGGCCTTAATTGGGGAGAGGGGCTTAATTTCATTTCATGCCTATAAAACATGCTGGGACTTCCTATTGGGGGAGGCCGTATTGTTGGAGAAACAGGGTATATATACACACACACACACACACAATATTTACATAAATATATTTATATACAAGCCATACCCACCCAGTCACATGACCACCAAGCCACCCACCCAGTCAGCAAGCCACACCCACCCAGTCACATGACCACCAAGCCACACCCACAAATTAGGCCATGCCCACAGAACCGGTTGTTAAGAAATTTGAATCCCACCCCTGACTATACTAAACTGGCTCCATTGTTTTCCTAGCAAGCCTGAATGGGAAACAAGGACAAATCTTTTGCAAATCTGCCTTGTGAGGAGATGTGAACTAGGCATCACAGTTTGGAAGTAATGAAAAACAAGCCATGGATAAAGGCTCTTTGGTTTGATTAGTTGCTTTGCTTACAGCAGGAGCAGTCAAGCAGAAGATACTTCATCAATCATTATATTGGGATTGCCTGCTACTGATCCAGAACCTCCAAACAATAACTGAATCACTTTGTGGCCATGATTCTCTCTATAACTTTTCCAGAACCTGATGGGGTAAAGACAATGGTGCCTTTGACATCATTCATTGTGGATAATGATGACTTTGGCACTTTACCATACACCATACTTTCATAGCATCTGGTACAAATCCAGGAAGTCCTTCCAAAATTTTCCCCATCCTCCATTTGCTTGCTGGATTGGATAGACACAATTATCTGATGTCTTTTTTTAGAGGAAAAGCAAAGTTTAAATATGTTAGATATTTTCATTCATCTCTCATACATTATTTGTGCTGTTAAACAGGGAAGTTGGATTTAGTGTTTGCTCTGAGCCAAGGGTGGGATTCAAAAATCCCAGCAATCGGTTCACTGCCCAGTTGCTGGGTGGGTGTGGCCATGGTAGGAGTGGCCTACTGGAACTTCCGGGAGGGCCGTTTTTCACCTTCCCAAGGGTCCAAAGGCTTCCCTCGGGCCTCTGGGAGGGAAAAAATGGCCTCCTCTGGGCTCTGGAGGCCCTCCAGAAACCAGAAACAGGCCCGTTTCTGGAATACTGGAAGGCCCATTTCCACCCCTCCAAGAGCCTCCGTGTGGACCCTGCATTTACTTGCATCAAAAGTGGGCTACATGGAGACTTCTTGGAGGGGTGGGGTAGGATGGGCAGGGCCAGCCGGTTGGTTCAATGAACCAGATGCAAATTTAACATCTGGTTTGCCTGAACCGGTCTGAAGTGGTAGAATCCCACCTCTGCTCTGAGCTCTTTTAGGTAAGGAGATATTGTGTTGCTGAGTAATTCTTCACAGTGCACAAACATAGGGCAGAGTGTTTTGAATGGCAGCATATATGTACTGTATCAGGAATATAGCTTCCTCTACTTCTATTCCAAGCTGTTGTTGTTGTTGTTTCTCCTCCTCCTCCTCCTCCTCCTCCTCCTCCTCCTTCTGCCATATCCATCATCAGATGTTGGTGATCGTGTTGGCGATCCTATTTTTATCAGCAGCTGCACAAAAAAGTGCTGCTGAGTTTTGTCCAAACCTTAGATTTTGAAGCCATGATGTTCTTCTTCTGCTCGGACCTCATTTGCCTTCAATCTTTCCCTGAAGGATTAAGTGAAGTATGCCGTATTTTTCTGGGTGTTGCATTACATGTTTCTTCTATATCTCCCTATTTATATTATGCTGTACAGGTGCTGGTGGTTGGTCACCAGATCCTCAAGACAAGCATCCATGGCTCCAGATTGATCTGACAAGGAAAGCACATATAAAAACCATTGCTACTCAGGGGACCTTCAATACCTACAATTGGGTGACCCGCTACATTGTTCTCTATGGTGATCATCCCAGCAATTGGAAGCCTTATTTCCAGCAGGGGAGCAATTGGGTAAGGGAGAATTTGTGGCATCTACCCTCAGGATGGACAAAGGGATGTTAGTATGCAGTATAATTGGCTGCTCCCAGATATTCCTGCATATATTTACAAATGCATTTATTCATCATCTGTTCCAAGCAGAGATATAAACCTGATATGAACTGGATGCCTTCAGAGATATTATGTGGTACTCTAGGGTAAAATGATACTCCATCATGATTGACTGAAAATGAATCTGGATTTGACTAAAGCTTCAGGAACAGTAACTCTGATGAGCTTTGGTAGAATGTTGTTTTGTTTTTTATACCATTCTGATCTCTTATCTTCCCATAAATTTGTATTTCATCTTTTAATCATTTTCTTAAAAATCTTTTACTTATTGTAGCTTTCATTTATTGTGGCTTCTATCTGTTTGTCTGCTTTGTTTGGGAGTGTCACTTCCTATCCTGTTTTCTTCCTAGGCTTAGACTAAGGTGTTTTTTTTTTTTTGAAAACCACGTTAGAACATTTTTCGATTCTGCTTTGTTGTGCTTTTTAAAAAATGTTAGCAATTTTATTATAATCATATGTACTAGGCTGGCTCATTGGGGTCTTTTTGTGGCACATGGGTCAAATATTTAGTTTCTGATGTAGTATGAATTTAATTTGACACATGCAGACATTATATTGTGATAGAATGTGTATAACCAATTTGTTAATCTTATAAAATGTGTTATTTTTTTTACTACCTGAAGATGTGAAAGCTAATAACCTGCATATTTTTGAGATTACAATTCCAATTATTTCTTTTACATAGCCTGGCTGGATGCAATAAGTCCAGATTAATAGAAAAGCCACCCATAGTGACTGTGCAAAACTTAGTCAGTTGGGGAAGCATGTAGTAGAATTTAAATTTTTTGCAGAAAGTGGCATACAAATTGTACAAGCGTTTAAAATAATTCAAGAAAAAAGTTACTTAATTTGTTAATCTGAGCTATAGTTTATAATCAACCCAGTCCTTTTCTAGCAAGTCACACTACAGTGTAATATTGTGGTTAGGTTATGAACCTAAAATAAGAGAGACCTAGGTTCAAGTTGAGATTCCATCACAGAAGTCTATATTTCTTAGCCAATTTTCTCACAGGATTGTTATGGGAATAAATTGAAAGAGGAAGCACTATCAATACCACTTGTTGGTATATATCAAGTGACACACAATTTGAGACAGTTAGGCTTAACATTTTTATTTTGTTTCATGCTCTCCTCTCAGGTTCTATTCAATAAAATGGCTGTACCAGACTGACTGTAACCTGCCTTTCTGTTTCCCAAAATGAGATTCTAGAATCTGGCTTAATGCCACACAGAACAAGAGTAGACAAAAATTTTTTTTGTGATTGAGATTGCATGTTTTGTTTTGTTTTCAAAATACTTTGGATTAAAATTCAAAATTATAATCTAATTAAAAATCTAATGCAAACTAAGAAAAATATAAACAAGAAAAAACAAACTGCAAAAAGGAAAAAAGAAAAGCGGAAGCATCTTCTTATCACATATCTCATCTTTTATCTATTACAAATAATAAAACTTCATCTTGTAATCTTAATCAGTAAAATCCATTAAGAACTGCTAGAAATAACTATAGCAGTAACTATATATTGGTAGTCCTTGTCTTATGATAGTAACTGAGCCCCAAATTATGCTTATGCTGGTCAACATGTGGCTGTGACTGATTTTATGACTTTTTTATGACAGTCGTTAAGTGAATGATATGGTCGATAGGTTTATGTTTTTACTGTAAATTGAAGCAGAATGCCAGTTTTCCAGCAAAACCCCCGCCCCCATAAATTATAATCACGTGACTTGGGATACTGCCAATAGCTGAAAACGTGGGCCAGTTGCTAACCACCTAAAATGCAATCATGTGACTGGGAGACGGGAATGTTGGAACTTCGAATCTGAGTCATAATTACCATTTTTTTTAGCTTTATTGTGACTTCAATGGTTGTTAAGTGACTATTTTGTAAATCAAGAACTACCTATACATACTTTAAACTAGTAAATCCATTTCATAATTCTGTACACATTATCTTGTAATTTTTTTCCCTAAAAATAGAAAGGAAAAAACCCATTATACACAATTTTAAAAACTTCATTATTGAAACTTAATTAAGAAAAAATTGATCAAGAACTGAAACAACAATTTGAAAATATTCATCTTTTATCCCTTCAAATGATGTCCCACAAATTAATGTCCTACCATCTTTCTTAATCTTCTCTCAATTATGATATCATAGCTTATCATTTTCAATACAAAGCTTTGTTGTTTCCCTACCTTATCTATAAACAAATCTTTCAGGCCTCATCATTCAATCCTAGTCAGACTGCAAATTTCAAAATTATTATTATTTTCATCCTCTGAAGGGTGCAAAGACATGGAGCTGAGGTAATGTTACTGTAAGATTGGATTAACTTCCCTTTTGCATATATATTCCCTCCCTCAATATATTAGGAAGGTTAGAGGATCCATAGCCCTATTTTTAATGGGTAAAATTTGACTCTGATTTAAGTCAGCCTAGCAGCCTGAAAAAAAAAGGAGCTTATACCTTATACAATTATTTTATATGACATGTTACCACTGAAGCCAGTGACAATATCCTGGACAATACTAAAACTGTACACATATTTCTAATGTCATCTGTTCCACAGAGATTTTTATTATGTAATATCAACATCGGAACTTTCATTGCTTATGTTTTACATTCCTGTGTCACTTGCCACTCTCTCTTCCTCCCTGGGCTTCTTATGATCCATTCTTAGCTTTGCATTACCCAACAGAATATTAATATGATTCAGGAGATCAAATGCTGTTTTCTTTAGATGATACTAACTTGATCTGTTGGCATCTGCTGGATCTGTATCTCAGTTCATTCTGGATTTTTCTGTAAATGTGAGGGTTGTTACTTAACTGAAATTGCAAATTTCTTTTGGTCTTCCTGATAGAGCTTGTGTTTTTCTTCTTCTTTGCAATTCTGATCATCTAATTAAATTTGCATTTAGGATCTTGGATACAATTTTGCTAAATTAAACATTCCATGATTGTAATTGCAGTGGGACCACTGGATTGTTTTTGTATAGAGTATCAGACCTGCCCCATTAGGAAAGAAAGAATCTCAACTCCATTAGGTTGAAACAAAAGGTTGAACTACTAAGGAAGTTGGTTACAGTAAAGTCAGACTAGCTCTAAAGTTTTACCACATGAAAAAGATACAGAAAATGTTCCCTTCTCCTCCCCACCCCCGACCAGTCTGTGCTTCATCAATCAGAGCTTAATAAGATGTTATAAGAACACTGAGATGTTGTGAGCAATTCACATTCCTTTCTTGGGGTGCATGGCTTTGGTGCCTCTGGTCCAAATCAGTTCAGGGCATCTTTAGTCTTCATCATCTGTCATTCCTCCCTCCCTATTTCCCACCACACACACACACACACACACACACACACACACACTCACACACACAATCATACTGTCCATTTGTCCACCCCCTCCCCTCTCCAGCTTTGATGGCGAGCACTGGCAGGAATTGACAGAGTTTCTTAAAATCAGCCTTGTAATACAGTCTTTCAAAAGTTATAATTCAGATTTATAGCTGTCAATCATTAGTTGTAGTGGGCTGCACTTATATCCATCCACTACATCCATGTAGTGGGCATGGATGGGCCTTGCTTTATTATGGAATAGAACTAAGAATGGATCTTCCTGTGAGAGAAGAAACTTTGAAGGTTGTGGATAATGGGAGTTGGTTGTAATGTGAGTAAAATCCTCACTGCAAATTGCAAATGCTTTTCATGTGGGGTACTATCTGTTAAGAGATTATCAAAACTTCCCCATTTAGCTACTGTGTTTTAAAAACATAGCTATAATTTATTTTATTTAAAACATTTATATAGCCAATATATTAGGTCTCCTTCTATGATCTGGCCTTAACAAGGTGAAGGGGCTTGTGTGGGTGGTCACATTGCAAGAAGAACTGATGGTAGGTGGACCAAGGCAGTCATAGAACAGGTCTCACTTGATAAAAAGTATCCATGAAAGAGACCTAAAACAAGATGAATCAATGACATCAGCAAGTATTGTGGGCCCAATTGGTAAAAGAAAGCTCAGGACCATATTCATTGGAAACATGTAGAAGAGGTGTTCATCCTGCAGTGGGTTGACATTGGTTAAAATGATGTTATGTAACTTGTAAGATTGTTCATGCTTGCAATACTGAGATACCTGGGAAAATAATGTATAATAACTATGACTTTCAAGTTCAGAAATAACAGTTTTATTTGTTATTTAGTATATATTTGGCATATATGTGATTATCAGTGTTTTTTTCCAACTGAGATTATTTTTTGTAAAAATCATGGCCAATTACAAATATTTTAAAATTTTGATTTGACTATCAAAACTCTAGTGTTGCAGAATCTCTGTTTTAATGATCTGGCCTCATGACATTTTTTTCTGGTATAATGAGTAGAGGTAACAATTTGGACACCATCAAGAACTAGACTTTGCCTGCAATAGGCAAAGAATTTAGCGCTATGTACATGTGATGGCTACTAATTTTATATACAATTTAATATTGTTTGCTTCTCTGGATGAAAAATCTCTGCTTCTTTTAAAAACTAAGCATCTTTTATTACAAATGTTTTGCCTGGGTGATATTTTTCATGGAGATTATATTTCATTTTAGAGATCTGTTGCTTCAAGCAATCTGTGGTCATGTTAATCCTCAGTAAGACTATAGATGAACATATAATCCATGAAAGCTGAAATTCCCTCCTAGTGTTCAAGGAGTTCAGACTTTTCCTTTTGGAGCAACTAGATAGTAGTAGTAGAAATCCCAAAATATAATACTTCAAATGAAAGCTTTCAGTATGAGTTAATGAACACAATCCTTATAGGAAAATCTGGATCTTTCTAATTTACTAGAGTCCACAAGAAGCATCAAGTAGTAAAAATACCTGAGCATTTCCAAAATGTAAAA